TCTATGAACAAAAGCCCACTCGTGCCTTCTGTCCCAGGTGTGGAGCCAAACACTGACCTGTTGTCGTACAGCTCTCGCTGAGGTGAGGACGTAGGCAAGATCTGGGTCAACAGGATGGACTGTCCAATGCCGTTGCATCAGCTGAGTCACATCAGGCTCCAAAACTTCTCCATCGGATTGTCCCATAGCTGGTCGCACAGGTCTTGATGATTCTTCTGTCCTGGCAAGATCAAAGGCATCATGAGCAAGAATCAAATGTTGATGCTCACGAAGAGGCCGTTGAACTGGCAGATCATCTTCACACATAGAATTTGGGACTCTCTGCAACTGCACATGCGCAGCAACAGGCAAGCCAATCCTGTCATATCCATGGAATTCACGTATGATTTCGTTGTTGCGGAAATACACCCCTGCTTGGTAGTCACCATCACACACATGTTGGAAGCCCAGCAACGCACACAAGACATTGGGAGTACATCCTGGCAAACACCTCACAGCAGTAGTTTCAACGGTACCAGCTAGCAAATGCCGAACTACCAAAGTAAGCCTGTCATCGGCAAGAGCTTCATCATTAAACGCCAGAACCACTGTGTCTCGTTGGTTGTTACTGCTCCCAGCAACCTCAACCATAAGTGGCTGTGGGAACATTGTCACCAGGTTCTCCAGCGTCCTCAAATGGAGTGAAGATCTGAGATGACCACAGTCCCCTCCTCAGGAGATGTACAGCAAAGGGGATTCCAAAGTCTTGTTCTACAGATACAAAGCTCCATCCGAGTATCTTATTTTCCCAGATCCCATACTCAGGTTGTCGAAAGTGCTGGTATGCGAGGTCAATTCCTTGCTCCATCCAAGCTTGAGTGTAGATACGTCTTGTCAATCTGAAGACCCTCGTGTAAGCCAAACCCCTTTCTGCAGCAACTCCAAACTGTCCGGCTTCCGCCATTGCGGTTGGCCTCTGCATCATATTGATGAGATCAAATGGGGGGGACACGAGAGCATTATCGTCGTAGTCATCATATCGCAAAAGAGCTCGTCCAAACGGAGGTGCAGTGGTTTCTCCGTGGAGAGGCAGCGTAGTCGCGCAAAATCCTTTCCTTCCGGAGGCATAGAAGTCGTTTCCACCACAATCCTCACAGTCATCATATTCACACAATCGAAGTTCCCCACTATCAGAGCCTGAAACATGGGTAATTCCAAGACCCTCAAAACGTGGACAGAAATCATGCTCAGCACTGCACTCAATCTGGTAGTTGAGGCAAGCACAGGACAAAGCAAGGCTCTCGAATGGGCACTGGTCACCCTTCACAGTAAGCTTGTCACTTGTCAAAACTGTAACAAAACTCGATCTGCCTTGAAGTGTCCCGGAAGCCTTCAGTCCTAGATATTCGGCTAGGTGTACAGATAGGCTCCCCAGAAGGCATACAGGGAACTACATCGCAATGAGTGGAGGAATCACTTACAAAGTGACCATCAACTGCATCGGCTGACTCAAAAGCATCTAGTGAATCTAGTGAAAACAGCCTCCACTCTGTCCTGCAACATACATCTAAGGCTTCGGCAGAACAGACATTTAGAAGTAGAAAGAGCGAAAGCCATCTAAGGGCTTTCCGCCCTCTCATTTTCTTTCGGCATCTAACTCCTGCTCTCCTCTTACACCCTTTGGGTAAAGGAAATGGATATGCCCTTTCTTCACGAAGGCGGCACAAGCATGCTACACCAACAAGGAGTGCCACAAAGTAATTAAGATTTTTGAACCCTTGCAGGATCTGCACACCTACAGAGGGTCCAAGGCCTTCAGGTTCCTCACGAGCACATGCCAAAATCCCTATGTTGCAGAGTAATGAAATGCACTGCACACAAAGAAGCCAGCAATTGCTTGGAGCACTGGGCCAAAAATAGAATCGTTCACGTCTCCTCCATCGTCGAAAAAGCATTCGGATTAAGGCAATCACTCCATCGACAACCCAAGCAATGAGTAGAGCCCATACCGAGACGAATGCAGTCAGCAAGGTACCATGAGTGAGGTCGAGGAAAAGGTCAAATCCCCATACAATGAGTGACTTGACACCCCACTTGCAGGAGTCGCTGAAGGCATCATCGATAGCATCGTCGGAGGAAATCCACAAAGGTGAAACTTGAAACATATAGGATTCAACAGTTGAACACAGAGAGCGAAATCCCCAACATCTATGAACGAGAATGGATTTGCAAAGGCTCCCAAGCCTACAAACCAAACTCCTAAAACCAGCCCCAATAGGAAAGTCCTCAAAATCGGGCAAGTCACCATCATGGCCATAGTTGGAGCTGTCAGAGTAGGCAGCATCAATGCCACTCGCAGCTCGCACTCAATCCAGCTTGTTCTCGAAGCCATTTGTTGGCTTTTTCCTTCGAGTGTCCATTCGAAAAGGCAACATCGCTGTACCAGTTGTCGCAGTCGATACCACAGGCGGAATACCTCCATCGCTTGGCAGTGAGACTTGCACTGCTATCTGCGTCTGAAAGGCAATCGCCAGATTCCAGACATCGTGAACCGCCTGGTAGTTCTCTGGCTCCGCCTTCATAATGGCGATCATCTGCTCCCGGTACTTCTCTGGGATTGTTGCCATGATCTCCTTGACCTCTTGTTTTTCGAGATCCAGTACTTTGGCCACTTCGAGATTTGCGTCCTCTGCAGACCTCTTCGCAGGTGATCTGTATCGTTCTCTTGCTTTGTCTGGATGCCCTTCGTGCAGTTCTGTTCGATTTGGACGATGAATCATCTGTGGAGAATCGATTACTGGCATCTCCAGATTTCCCCCACCTCTGATCATAGTCACAAGGCCCTGCATCTGATTGGCCATCTCTGCAGTCCTTTGCTCCATAGCCTGCACATAGGATGCCATTTGCATCATCTGCTGCTTCATGGCGTCTACTTCTTGCACTAGGACTTGATTGGCCTGAACCAGGCCTTCTTTGCTTTCGTCTGCCTCCATCTTGGCCTCGTTCTCGTCCTTTTCGACGATCTTCAGGTCCACCTGGAGCTGTTGCAGTTCCTTTTTGAAACGTGCTTTTTCTTGTTGCATCCCCGCATTCATGCCTGTCTTCCAGGATGCATATCTTTCCTCCCGCTTTTGGATCTCCGTCTTCAGCTTTTCTGCACGAGTCAGTGCTTTTTCTCCTGATTGAGCTCCTTCTGACGGAGTCGTAGCTCCTCCCGAGGGTCCACCGCCACCAAACTCTTCACACCATGAGGCACTTCCTCTGGCTCTGGCGTTTTGCTTAGCAGGTAGCGAACAGCCTCCTTCAGAATCTTGTTCTCGTCCGTGGCAGAGGAAGATGCCGAAGATAAGGATAAGGAGCCTGCAGGCTGTTTGAGTTCTACCTTTTTTCCGTCGTACCCTATCAGGAACTGTCTCTCCTGTTGCTGGCCTCCGGAATTGGCAGGATTCTTCTCTTTTGCTCTCTTCTTGCTTTGAATGGCTGGACCATCTTGTCCGTCCCATTGCGCATTCCATTGGTCCGCTCTGTAGGACCATTTTTGCCCTTTCCATGACATCCTACTGGCGAGAATAGCAGGCTCGTATAGGGCAGGAACTTTGTATTTAGGTGCACTGTGGTGTGATTCCAGTAGAACAACAGCAGAGGCCACACGCTCCAGAACACTGGGCTTTAGGCTCTGCTTGTTCTTGTGCCTGCGAACCAAAGCCCTGGCACGTGAACGCCGCAGTCTGGCACGCCTGTGCCACGAGGGGGATCCAGCGGGTATGGCTCTAGCACAAAGGAGGTACACCTAATCTTCGACTCTGTGGAGTCTCGGGGTTCAAAGCTATCTACAGCTAAGTTTTCTTTGAGCCCTAGCAAGCGGGACAAACAAACAAGCAAACGATCCAGCCAGCCAAAAAGCAGAGAAGGTAACGAGGAAGGGATGAAGAAAGGAAGACAGCAAGGAAGCAACGAAGGGAGCTTGCGGCCGTAAGCGTGCCTACGGCTCACAGAAAGCAGACACCAGATGTCAAACGGCTTTAGTTGTGCTGTTGGCGTGCACTTCTCACACTTCAAGCTCGCTGTGGTTTCCATCTCAACATGTGGCAGGACCGAAGCTTGAAGGGCCACTGAGTAGGAAGGTTCCAACAAGTTAGCAAATTCCTATGGCTGCTGGTTATGAGCTGCGATCCCTGAGCCCATTCCCACCTAGTCTGTGCTGACATTACAAAAGTTAATGGAGGGCTACTTTTTTGGAAATTTGTTGTGTTGCGTTTAGGGAATGTGTTGTTGGATTTGTTTCTTGTTGCTTTTCTTGCTGTGCATTCCTTCTCTATGAATTCTCCTGCTGTTCTGCTGTTTTTGTGCTTGTTTTTGCTTTTCCTCGCTTTTCATTGCTTCTTTGTGGTTGCTGCTGCTTTTGACTCTTTCTATACTTTTTCTACTCTGGTTGTTTGTTTTCTGCTCTACAGGTTGTTGTGTTTTGTTTCACCCTCAAGTGCATCAATGAACTGAACTCTTTGATTCTTTACTGCCTTCTCGATTATGATGCACTTATCTCATGTTTGTTCGCCCTGCAGCCGGAGTTGTTGTTTTTTCCTTGTGTTCCAGTTGGTAGCATTTTTGTGCACACAGGCCCCAGACGCCCTGAAATCATGGACATGGACAAATGGGCTCCTGGATATACTGTATACTCATTTCTTCTACAGACGCCTGGCTTTCCACTTCCACTGGAGGAACTTCAGAGAAACCACAACCGCAAAACAGTACCCCTATATATATATATATGTACATATGTATAATTGTGTTTAATTTCGCCCTCGCCACGCAAATTCACGCTTGAACTGCTTGAGCCCTGCCGCCACAAAAAGTGACTTGCAGCTCAAGACTGGGTAAAAACGAGAGCCTTTCTTGTTTCAGCATGACTCAAGGAGAGGAAGTCATGAGTTCAGAGGTCCAGTGCGCTTCCAAACAACATGACTTGTCATGACAGACTAAAGGAATGCCGTGAGTTGAGACCACGCGCGCTGAATTGGCAGGCTGAAATCACTACCTAACACATGCCCGAGTGATTGATCCGGAGTGTATGCATGAGTCCCGAGCTGGACTCACATACCCATTCCCCAGCGGTTGTGAATGGACCTCACTGAGAATTTATCAACTGCATGCGGACTGTTCAGCAATCAGGCGCGCAGATGTGTTGGAAGGTGGTCTTACAACCAAGTGGGTTTTGGATGCTGGAGCCAATGACTCCTTGAGCCTATATACATGCTTAGTTACGTATTGCCACCACGGCAGGTAAAGCGGTGCCAGTGTCGAAGCCGAGATTTGTTTCATTGAACTGATTCAAGATTGTCACCACCACATTGCCCGCCCTGATGAGTGGAAACGGCAATTGATTGTTTTTGCGGTGAGCGGAATGAAGCTAGCTTTTGAGCCAGATTTTTTTCCAGCTGCCCAACGGCTACATCCAACATTATCCAACCAGTGCGCAAAAATTGCAACTGGCTTGGATTTGGCAGGCCTTTATGCTGGGTGCTGAACATAGCTGAGCATGGTGTGAGTGGTTGTTGCGAGAACTCGGCATATTCTGCCTTGCCTCCCTAGCGACGTCTCCATGTCCTGGTAGCTTGGCTTTGGTCAAGGGAGGGGATCCAAGAGAAGCCTATTAGTGACTGTTAGTATGACAATCAATGATCACATTGATCAGTTGATTAACGGCAACGTGATGGCCGACACCTTGTCGTACGAGACAGATCAAAAAGTGCCTGATGCCTCAAAGTTGGGGCCCTTGCTGTGTAGATCTGTGTAGGTTCAGACATGCGGACGTATTCTTTGTTTCGGCTGGTGGCAGTTGTTTTCGCAGGTTGTGTTTCTATCAGCACGTTTGGGAGGGCGAGACCATGACCTTTCGCCCCTCCCGACACAATGCTGGAGTAGGTAGGTAGGTAGGTAGGTAGTGGGTACTAAGCCCCGAAGGGCCTGACCACTCGACGTCATAAAATAACTAAAACATCGAGGTGGGACTCGGACTAATTAAATGGAGACAGACAGGGGCGTCCCAAAAGCCTGCCTCCTTGCTGTACAAATTGCAACCTTTCGAATTCCACAGCACGGCATGAGTAGCGCAACCTTCCGGTTAAGCTATTCAGGCCGCTGCGCGAAGCGGTGCCACTGACCCAGATGACCAAAAGCCAGCACCACGTGGTGCTCGCAGTCCCATGCACTCAGCCGCGCCAAGCGGTTCCAAGAGTGGATGGAGCCCATGGCAAAGCTAGCAATCAACATCAAAAATTAAGTTCATCCAAAGCAAGAGAGTACACGGAAGCGGCCCTATCACACTATCACCAATCCGGATGCTTTCAAGCCACAGAAAGGTAACGCAGTGATCCCAGATATGACCTGACACAGGGGCCTCACGTCCGGACGCGACCTCAGAAAAATGTAGCACCAGAGAGGCACATTTCCTGAACCTCGTGCAGGAGTCTAGGCACTACACAATTCCGATTTCCGGGAGACACACTCCGGCCAGAAATCAGGATCATCATAGATTCAAACATTGGAAAAGCACGCCGCGCTGTGGCGTTGGCGTGGCACGATGCCCATGGGCATCGCATGGCCAGAATCATGCATCAACACTATAGACTTAGGCGCCTTTGTACACCCATGGGTGCTCCGCTGGGTCGCCCACGAGGAGGACTGTCAACATGACCCAGCTACAACGCTGGAGTTAGCTGTCGTACAGGGTTTCCTGGATCTCCGCTGCTGCAAGGTGCAGCCACCGCAAGAACACATGAACGACAGTCAGGATAAGAACCAAAAAAAGAAGAAGGTGAAGGGTGTTAGGAGAAGGCGTTGGAGGAAGCAGGAGTCAGGAGGAGAATGGGGAAGGAGAGGTGAAGGTGAATGTGGAGGAAGTGTGAGGAAGCAAAGGGTGAAGGTGAAGGAAAAGGAGAAGGAGGCGAAGCAGCAGGCCTTGTGTCGGTGCCCGCTACCCCGGCAGATTCCAGACAGTGGAGCAACCCACTGTCAGTTCCCCGACACGGTCCCACTAACTAACAACCCAACACCAACACTGAGCAGTGATGGTGCAGTAGTTGTTTTGTGTTAGGATGTTGCGAGACTTGCTGAGACTGCTCAGCTCCCAAAAAATAGAAAGGCTCAAAGGGTGCATGGCAGATCGCGCTGTTTTTGCACGATGTTCATGACCTGTTGCCGAAGCCTGCTGAAGTTGGAGCTTCTCGATGAAGAGATGAGCTTCTTGTCAGACGATGACTCCGAGGCCGGGCCTTCACCAAAACTTTATATATAGGATAGCCCTTGCTACCGAAATAAAAACAAATTGCGGAGCTTGAGGCAACTTTCTCCATAAGAACCTATGAACTTTATTCAATTCGAGGTCTTGGTAACATACCCTGACTTCCAGGCTTCAGGGTTGGGCCTGAACTTTATTTAGGTGCCAGGGGGTGGCACTCAGATAGTTGTTCATGAGGTTGGCCCCCTGGCAATTTAATTAAACTATACTACAGTATAGGCGGCCAAGCACCTCCACCTTCCCAAGCAACACAAACCCTCAGTCTCAGGTGGGCCTCAGCCTGTAGTATTCTACCTTCGCAGCAGGTTTCCAGATTGCCAGACCAAGCCACTAAACCCTAATAAACACTAAGAAGGCCTGGTTTGATGGTGTATTTGCTGTTGGTGAGGTTGGGCCCCTGGTGACTTTAGGTTGTGGTGGGGGTTGGTGGGCTGTGGTTGTTGAAGCTTCTTGTGTTGGGTTTCTGCTGCCCGCCTCAATTTAATCCAGAGGGCCAAGCTAAAACTTGAACAAAGGGGTTGAAGACCAACAGTCAGCCAGCACCTCCACCCTGGCTTTCCCAAGAAACACACACCCTCAGTCTCAGGTGGGCTCAGCCTGTAGTATTTTACCTTCGCAGCAGGTTTCCAGATTGCCAGACCAAAGCCACTAAACCCTAATAAACACTAAGAAGGCCTGGTTTGATGGTGTATTTGCTGTTGGTGAGGTTGGGCCCCTTGTGACTTTAGGTTGTGCTGGGGGTTGGTGGGCTGTGGTTGTTGAAGCTTCTTGTGTTGGGTTTCTGCTGCCCGCCTCAATTTAATCCAGAGGGCCAAGCTAAAATTTTGTGATGGTAGTGGTTTTAACTTGTGATGTTTTAGATGCTGTAGCTTGGGTGAAGTGGCTTGAAAACGGGTGAAGATATTGACGCGCGCGTTGGGACATTCGTGGTCTCGGTTTTGGGACAACTTTATTTCGAGTGGGGTGCCCAACCTAATCACTCAGGAAATATTGGCCAGGTTGGCGTTGTCCACTTTATGCTGTTTTCATATGTTTTCACCAGAAGGAACTTTATTTTGTATTTCTGGTTTAGGACCCCATACTCATGTCAACAGATCTTTGCCAGGATAGGCCCTGAGAACTTTATTTTATTTTTTCAGGGTGCCTAGGGAACCTGGTGATAACAGAGGGGTATTATATAGGCAGTAGGCATGTTAAGCTGTTAAACTGTTTGGACAGAGCATTGCTTCATCAGAACCGTTTGCCTGAGGACTTTGAGATCTCTCGGCCAAGAGAAAGGCAGATCTCCACAGAGTATGACCCAGACAATGATGACTACCAGATGCAAGTGAAGCCCGAATTGCCAGAAGCACTTGCCCTCACAGAGACGCAGCTCATCAAAAAGCAAATCACTCAACTCCAAAGCAGGATGGACCAAGGAGGCTTGACCTAAAGCTGCCGTGTTTATCTCTCAGGATGCTTATACAATCAGTCTTTGCATGGCCGTTGAAGGCGTGCGAAATGATTCAAGAAAAGATGCATGGTAGATAGGGGTCACCAGTGTGCTTCACACCTGAGACAGAGGCGATGCATCGATCATGAATCACTACCACAAGGTGCGCTCAATTCAATTCTGCTTCTGAGTCGAGTCAAATCAGTTGAACAACAATGCTAGCACGTTTAACACGACAACTTCCTGATGTACACATGAGGTTGTATAGAGCCTCACAGTAATCTACATGGGTGATATGTTTTGCAGATCCCTTTGTTCCTGAATCGCTTCAAAACTCAAACGTTATATATATACAGTGTATATATATTTATATTGATATATGAATCATAAGTTTAAAAAGAAGTGTTTGATGTATTTTAATGTGACATGTTCATTCATTCCACTGGCCGTTTGTTTGCTTTTCTAGTCATCGAGTGTAGCTCGTCAGAACGATAACGGGTAGCCGACAACAAGACGATAACACAAATTGACAAGCACACTATAAAAAGCTCACTTCTGAGCACCTGTCCACTTTCAAGTCAGCATGATAGCATTCTTGCAGTGAGATGTGCTGAAGAGTGAGCTTGATTTTTCCAAATGCCTTTGGGATGAATTTTCAGGTTGGCAGTCATGTTGGCAAGAGTGTAATACCTACAGCAATATCCTTTGAGAAAGCAGCTGAGAGAATGAGGACCTCGATTGCTCAAGCATTTTGAGGTGAAGGAGGAATTGGAGCTCCAGCTGGAGTTGAAGAAAGACAAGACTGAAGACGAACAAGTCGCTACAATGTCACGACTCGTGCCTAGGTTTTCAACTGGCGCCACCGCAGCCACAACCCCTGGAGCTACTAGTCAGTCAGTACTATATAGTGTGTTCTAACAAGGCTATCCAGCTGCTTGAAAGCTTTGTCATGATTCTCATGGTGATACTGAGCATTGTGTGTCTCTGAAGCATCGCGCCACCCAGTCCACATGTGACAGTGGCACCGACATCTCATCATTGCCCTCCCCTACTGAATCAAGGAAGGCAGGTGGCGGTTGGTGGGAAGGGTACAATGCTTCTTGACACGCGCAATGGACATTTCAACCATTTGCGTCACCTCGCAACATCTCCTAGATGCGCGCGGTTTTGTAGAGAAACAAGCTGCAGGAGGCATGGCCACCTCCTGGAGAGATCAGCAGGAATGGAGCTGAAACAACCACATGCTCAGGCTCGTGGATATCACTGCAGATAGGATAGGTTTCGTAGTCATGGTTGAATCAAAGCCGGTAGAACCGGACGAACGTTTTGTAGAACCGGTGTGTTTTGCTATGGTTTGCTAGAATTCTCAGCTCATCATCGTTGGAATAACTTTCCATTCAGGCTTGCAAGTGAACGGCAGTTCCTCACAGCATTGAACTGTCAACTTTAGCAGAGATGAAAGAAATTGAAAGAACCTTTCATGTCACATCGTTTAATGCGCAACCGGGACACAAAGTTGTATTGTGTACTTGTTGGCCTCAGCCTGTCTTGAGTTTCTAGTTGTGATCAATGGTCTATGTTGGCATATGTTGCAATGCGCCATTTTTGCTTGTGAGTTGCCAGCGGAGTGCTGCAGAGAATTTCTGTCTTCCATGGATACGTGGCTGATAGTGTATCCCGGCCCATTCATGACACTAAGTTTGCCGGTCGCCGCCTCGTTATGGAACGCGGATTTCGGATCGTTTGGAACGCGCGAAAAGGATCGTATCGGAACGCGTCCGTTGTTATACACTGTGAATTTGCGTGCAATGCTTGTTTCTAGGGTTTCCACGGTTTCCAGGGCTTCCATGCTTTCCACGGTTTCCAGGGTTTCCATAGATTCTTTGGTCGTCGAATCTCCTTTCACCTTCCCCTCCACCCCACCCATAGATTGTCCGGTGGTTGTAGATTGCCTGTTGCCACCCTTCCCCCCACCCCACCCATCAGATTCTTTGGTGGTTGAGTCTCTTTTCACCTTCGCCCCTAGCCCACCCAATCAATAGATTGCCCGGTGGTTGCCTGTTGCCACACCCATTACTGTAGATTGCATGTCCTTTCACCTTCTCCCCTCTCAAAGTGCGCAACTGAGTGCTCGGGTCGCAAGTGAGGTAAAGTGCGCAAGGCAGATAAAGTGCGCAAGCGGTATGCTGCAATGGGCTAGTGGGAATCGGTCTGTGTTCCAAAATGATCCGTAAATTGCTGTAAGACTACAGTTTTGGAGACTTTTTGCTGAGTCTGTGCGCTAAAATGATTTGTGTTCCAAAATGATCCGTTTTACGTGAGCCAAAATGATCCGGGTACCAATTTTGCCCTGGTCATTTCAGCGTTCCTCAGGTGTATGTCGATGTCGATTGAACTATGTCAAGTGGTCCCTTCATAGGGGTGCAAAATCAAAGGCATCTTTTTTGGATGAACTTGTTTTCACTGCTTAGGCCTTTGGCGCTATTTCCTCGCCGTCAATTGTCCCCACCCGATTGACAGGGAACGCAGCAAGACATGGAGCAAGCAACCGCACCAGGTTGCCTAGCAAGGAGGGCAAGCTAAATAGCACCAGGAGCAGTCCAAAATGCTTCGCGTGTAGCACCTTTGTGTAAGGATCTCAGCGCAAGCAGCGCCTTTTGATGCCACCCTACTCCTTCACACTTCACAATGCCGTGCTACTGCGGAAATCATCACCATCATGCCCTAGGTACAACAACTGCTGACATGGATGCATTAACAAAAAAGTGAAAAGTCCATCCGCCAAAGGTTGTAATGTTTGCCACTGCCAGTTTGCAGGCTGAAAGCATGAGCGAGATGAAATGAAACCGAGTATGGCGTATGCTACGGCCAGGGTCCCAGGGACTGCGGACTGGCATGCCTTCCCGATTGTGAGTTGGCGTGACCTTGACCTCTAAATGAGGAAAGGAAAGCACGACGCAGTTTGGCAGTACATTGCAAACGAAATTGAAATCAATCTGAGAACTCTCATTAATCACTATAGACTATAGATAATTATATACTACTGCAGTTGGTTTTGTTCACGCCACATACATCAGCTTTGGCACTTGGTCTCACAATCCAATGGGTTCTGGAGCCAATAACTCCTTGGCAGCTGGGCTCCTGAATGTTGGGCCTAGGGGCCCTACTGTAGACGCTTGACACATCTTAGCACAAGAGCAAGTGCCAAGGCTGTCTTGAAACTAAGCCTGAGCCAAATGAGCCACGTTTTTTTTGCAAATGATTAGGTTTATACAAAAAGGGAACTGTTGAGAAGTCGCGGAGGCTGTTCTGCTTGGGGCGTAGGCGTCGTGTAAGCATTTTGCGTAGGTGGGTGTTGAAAGAT